ATAATTAACAACATTAACATACATTTCAAATGTTTACATATTATTGATGATATATATATACAGTGATACAATTACAATTGTGTGTGTGTGTGTGTGTGTGTGTGTGTGTGTGTGTGTGTGTGTGTGTCGCGCGCGCGTGTGTGTGTGTGTGTGTAGTATTTGCAATTTGTATTCCCCTGTAAGGCCAAACNTTTAATAACACATGCAAAAATTGTGAATAACGTTTTAAAAAGCCAAAGTATCCTTCCCTCTACAGCTGTGTGTCTCTGTGTGTGTGTGTGTGTGTGTGTGTGTGTGTGTGTGTGTGTGTGTGTGTGTGTGTGTGTCGCGCGCGCGTGTGTGTGTGTGTGTGTAGTATTTGCAATTTGTATTCCCCTGTAAGGCCAAACGGTCAGGTTTACAGACGCATGGATCAGAATCCTCCGACAAGTAGATTTATGGGGCGGGATTAGAGGAGGGAAACAGAGCCCTTCACATGCTGGCTTGCTTAGGGAAATAAATAAGAAATAGGCCTACATAAAAAAATATCAAATGAATATCTTTCCAGGGAGCCTTTTTCTGTCCCGCCCAAAATAAGTCAAGAAGGTTTGGAAAATACCTCCAAACCGAGCCAGCACATGATGGATATCATGTTGCTGTTAGCGGGTGCAGACAGAACAAACACGGGTTATATGGAGAACCTCCGCGGCTCTACATCAGGATGACTGCTACTTAATGACAGGTCCAATATTATTATTATTACAGAGTGAACAGATGACCCGCAGCCTATACTAACACCAAGCTGAATTAGTGTATTGAAGTCAATCTGCCGCCTTCACATAAATAATGAACCCCCTTATTTTATGAACAATAACCGAACTTCGAAGGTTGCAATAGGCTACATTTCGTAACAGTGAACACAAATATGAGTTTTATTTGATCACATAATACTAAAGAACACAACATAATTCACAATTGTGCAGCTACAAACTAAATATGGGCCTAAGGGCGATTATAATCGTATATCTTGGCCTCGGCACTATCTACAAATAACCTGCTCTTCACTTCCTGACAGTGACAGACGTCCTGACTGCCTGATTGCTATATAATTTTTAGGACAGCCCATGCATATAGCTGACATACATTTAATAGTTTCAGCTGATGGAGATGTTTGACATTGGGGGCGGGAACAAAGCGTTATCCTTTTATGTTTGCATTTCTTTGCTTCAGAATAGTGACAATACAACAGAAATATGAAGAATAATCCCAGCACCCCTCCTCTCAAGAATATGGGAAATGACAAAGCAGTTGATTGCAGAATGATTATCAAGGTAGTATTGCCTTTCAAAAGCATAGCTACATAGCATATTAATTACCGTGTCACATGGTTACCCTAGCCTGTAAAGAGAAACCGCGGCCTGCATGTCCATGGTGACCGCAGCTCTGGAGCTCATGTCTCCAGACATCGCTTCTGACTTCAGTGCATATGTGGTGCGTGAGTGAGCAGTGGATATGGAGCAGGAGGCCTACAGCTCGAAAAGGTCTGATTTGTTTGTTCCAAAATGGATTTGCACAGTGTGACTGACGCGAGGAGCTTTAATACGCAATGGAGCGCGGATACAAACTCGTGTGCGACACAGAGAGATTAATAAAGCCCTGCGACCTACAACCCACCTGCAGTAAAACCCTAAAGTAAAATGCAAAATCAAATCCGAAGCACTTGCGGCTGTTTCACCAGTAGCCTACACATGCCCTGAGCAATTACCTTTTCACGATAGCTCATAATCAAACAATGATTGTTTTTACACAAGCATCTGTAATTCCAATTAAATATATTCTCTGCTCATGAAGATATAAATCCATATGTTTTTTGTTGACAGTTTCCAAACTCACCATCAAGATACTATCAAATCATCAATTATTTTTAAACTGGCATATTGTTGCAAAACAGCGTGAATCTTATTACTAAGAAATGCAATGCAAGTATCCCCTGAACACACCATGCAACTGTGTTATGTTTAGGGTTAGGTTAAGTTATATAATATAGTAACCGGTTCTAGTTATTGTAGCCTACAAGTTGTCCACTTATTGTGTCCACCTCTTGTATGTTTTTTGTAGTAGCTTCCACAGTATTGCGCAGGGAACAAAACAGAGATTGGTTTATGTGACGCTACATAATACAGTTAATATTGTTCATAGCCTACCAAGAGTAATCCGTTACTGCAGGAGCCTGCTGCTAACACAGAGATGATCCGGGCTAAATATCTCAGTAAATTTAGGAGAGCAGAAGGTGGGGGCACTTTGGCACTCCGGCTCTTTGTTCTTGTTTTATGGCGGCATTAAAAGCATTTACAATCTCCCTCTCTCGTTCCGCTCTCTCCTGCCTGCTTTAATAACTTACTTTGATCCGGGACGTCTTTGTCCTCACTCCCATCACAAATGTCCTTATTTTCTTCGAAACCTGCTCTCGGGATGGCGGCCGGATGGAGATTTAGCTCGCGCGCGGCCGTGGACGCAGACTCCAGAATGTAAGTGGTGGTCTCCTGCTGGATCTGTCCGCTGAGTTTAGTCGGGATCTCTCCGCCGTGGTGTCCTAGCTGAGGTTCCAGCTTGACCTGCCCCGCCTGGCCCTGCCCCGGGACAGCCTCGGAGCCGCGCGGCGCGCAGTCCAGCCATGAGCGGAGGTAGCGTGTGTCCGCGGCGGGCACGTGCTGCGCTGGGATGTACGGGTGGTAGACGGTTGGGAGGCCGCTGGCTCCGTGGTGCGGGCTAAACGGGCTCCAGGAGGAAGAGAAGACCGGGGGCTTCGGCTGGAAGCTGCAGGACGGGTAGGACTCCGGGTGGGGGTGTTCGGGCTGCCTCCCACCCGCGGCCGCGGAGGAGCTCGAGCCGGAGTACTGGTGGACGCCGGGAAAGCGAGCCGGGGTTGAGAGTTCATCGCTCTCGTGACTTATGATGGAGTCCACGTAATAGTTGCTCAAAGTCCCAGAAATGGACATTCTCGGACATTATCCGCGAAACGCCGCGAGTTCACTAAATGGAAAACAAGAAGAGAGACATTACGCGATTTTACTCTTTGACTCTCTCTCTGTTTCTCTTTGCTTGCTCCCCCCCTCCCTCCCTCTCTCCCTCTCTCTCCTCTCTTCTCTCTCTCTGCTCTCATATCTCTCTCTCTCTCTCTCTCTCTCTCTCTCTCTCTCTCTATCTCTCGCCCTTCCTTCCAAACAACTTGCGCACTATAGCGAAACAAAGTGCTACAGCCTCGCACTGTTCGCGGGGCGCAAACTGATTGGCCGGACTTTTTTCTCCGAGCCTGATAAAGCTTAAATGGAGCGTAAATCAATAATGCACCCCCCCCCCCCCCTTTCCCCCTCTCTCTCTCTCTCTCTCCTTCTATCCCACTCTCTTTCTCGCCATTTAATAGATTGCACCCCCTCTGAATAAATTGTCTTGTTTAGCCTATATGCAATATGCAAAATGAACAGCTCGTGCGTATATCTAGTCTGTGTATCTATGGCTGGTGTCAGAGTGAGAATTACACCGAACTGTTAAATTATGCTCGGTCTGGGCAGCGCGGAGACAATGGCTGACAAATAAGTGGCGCAATTATTTGTATGTATATATTTATTTATTTATTGATATGAACCTAATCAAAATAGACGCGCGTGCATCTCAGTGTGACGCGCACTGTACACATTACCGGGAGCGTGAGCACTGTTTTCTGTATTGTCTGCAAATCAATCTCAACATAATTTAAACGCACTGATAGCCAACAGCAGCGTTGTGTTATACCCAAGACAAGACAGACAGTTAAATTCACACCTATGTGTGGGTAAAGATTTACCCACTTTCTGGATACACTCGGAGTGTTTTTCCGTGAGATGCCTGACACTGTTTTATTGGCAGATTAACAATCATTTTTGTTAACGAGCGCCATTAAATCAGGCCCTGCGTGGTTATGCCTCTTGTCTTTACAGCGCAAACTACTCCAACTACTTTTTGGGGTCCGTTTAATACCATAATAAAATCCTACATCAGGGCGGCTACTTTGGTTTATAGGGCTGATATATGACCTGTGGGACTGCAGCCTCTTCCCCCGGTCTGGTAAAGGACGCTTCTCACTCAGCGGTCAGGCGGCCACGGGTACACACAGCCTGGACAGGAGCAGGGAGGGACTGAGGCTCCTCCTGTGGCCGAATAGAGGGTCACCTGGCCCCGCCGCTGTGCGCTGGAGCTCCCGGTGCTTTCCTCTGCTGCCCAAAGCCTCTCTTGGATCAAATCCGTCACTTGGCTTTTAATGAGGAGACTGAAGAGCATCAGCAGACCGGAGTCCAGACATTTTACTTCCTGCTGACCTTTATCAAAGTCACCTGGATGTAAGTCTTAATATTTCTTTATAATGAACACAGACTTGGACTCTTTGGGGAAGACAGGCTGCTACGGGGCTATAAATCCGACCTTTGCAGCTAACAGCATTATTTACGACGATTAAATATAACTACGCATTGCATATGGCGCAGTTAGTTACCAGGATGATAGGCTATAAGCAGCTTTCAGATCTGCTGAGGAAAAGTGATGAGTTGGACCAGAGACACATTTCAGGAGCTGCAACCAAAAGGAAACAAAGCAAAAGTCCTTTAAACACCAGGCGACTCTGGTGCTCAGCTTTGGCCTTTGAGCTTGAATGCAGCACATTCCTCTGCCCTTCCGTCTTAAAGGAACAATCTCCAGCTCATCTGGACAGCTTCAAATGGAACACGGCGACCCAGTAAGCACCAGTCCGAACATATACTTTATTAAAGGTGGATGATATGGGATAAATAGGTGGGTAATTTCTCATATGTTATGAATTAGCTTTTATTCAGAAAACTGATGAAAAAATAAATAATAGTGACATTGTTGCGTGTTTTTTGTCTTACTTGAGTAAAAGAACACACACTGTCAGTTTAACCCGTAAAGGATTTTGGTTTTGGTTCTTCTAATCTTAACCCTGCACTTCACGCACTGTTCCCGGTAAATTGTAAACTCCTAACACCAGGTTTTGACTTTGTTTTCCAGTTATAGAGGCTCAGGATATTTTTGCAGTGAAAATGGCCTCTCCTCAGACCGCAGGCTGAGGGAATTTTAATTTTGCGGAGGCCCCCGCCCTGCAGGCCGAGCTGCCAACCAGACTGCGCGTTAATTGGAGACACTGGTGCTGAAACAGTTTGGAGACATTATCTGCAAACCACCTTCATTTGCTACACGTTGCACAAGTCCTGTGACAGAAGTAATTTGGACAATTAAATCCACGGAAATGCACAATTCTAGTTAAAATGTGAGGAATGCATAGAGTTAAATGAAGAATGGCCCATGCTATGCTTTCTTTTTGCACCTAACACATGTTTCAAAGCAATTTTCCAAAAACCTCCAATATCCTGCAATAGTGGGATTACGCGATCAGCAGTCATTATTTGCAGATCAACCACAGCTCACTCTCATTATACTTCGTCAGAATGCCAAGGTTATAATCCTTTAACTAATTAAAACAAAATGCATGATACTCTCGGCTGATACGAAACGTTAAGCTCAGCTGCCTACATTACTTTATTTGAATTATTTTCAACCGTCACCTGAGAATATTTCAGGACAAAATGTATTTATTGTATAGACTTTGAGTATCCTCCTAATAAACAACCAGTTTAAGAATAAGAGGTTAATAAAGAAACGCAATTGAAGCTTCAATGCTAGGATTTCACAAGTTTTCGTTTTCCCGTAAAGATGTGAAATGACTGACACAGTGAGGCCGCCATCCTCTGTGCTGATTTGAAATATTGACATGTGAAGTCCAGGCGGTGATTTGGTTTTCCTGGAGCTGAAGCCTCCATTTCCAACATTGGTTCTGGATTTAGAAAGCATACATTTAGACCGTATTTTAATTACAGTTTACGCACATCCTCGTGATCTGAAAACACAGACACTGCATGCGATAATTATAATCAGTTTTGAATCTGACTTAAGCTCAAAGGTCCTTTGGCAGTCTTATTTTAAACCACTCTTTACTGACCAAAAAGGTCAAATATAGGCTGTAAATGCGTTAAAAAGTTAGGGGGAATAGACTGAATTTCTGCACTCAAACTGAAAACAACACATTTTCGCAGATGGGATGTTGATCAGAAACATGGTCAATTAGACATAAAGAAGTTAGAGAAAAACCTAAAGGCACGTCAACAGCACTTTATTATCTACATCATTATTTTTGTTTATAAATTGCATCAGGACAAAAACCAGCAGACTCAGGGACAGTTTAATCACACAGGCCAGAAGACTATTAAACACCTGAGCTTGCACTATTTTTATATTTATTGAGTTATGTCTTGTAATTTGCACTGTTTAGGAACCACACATACATTTACATCATTACACCGTAGTTTTGTATAAGAAACCTTTGAATCTTGAAAAAAAGGTAGGGCTAGCAATTATTTCGGAAATTAATTGAAAACATCATTTTTATCTTCAACAGTGTGTTATGGTCAGGGTGAACTAAATGTATGTATATAATATACATACATAAGCTATGTGTATAAGCTGCTGCTTTTCATTGTATGTTCTGTTCACTAACAAAATATTTAATATACAGTATATATATATATATTTGTTTTGCACAATATTCAATTTGGACAGAATATTTTAAAGTAGCATGATTAACAAAATATTAAGGAGTTGGGTTCCACAAAAATAATCGTTCATGATGTCCAATGAAATATGAATACAAGTCAATAAGAAAAAACAAACAAATACATGTGCAGAAAAAAAGAACATGGCCATGTTTAAAAATGTGCCTTTTAAAGCAGAGATGTATACATCTGTATATGAGATTATTGTATAGCATGTCAGATATAGATTTAATAAATAACAACTCATATGTTCATGATTGATTTATGATTCTGGTTTATATTCAATACACAACAATTCCCAGGTCTTGAAATTGTAGTAGCCACTTATTCACTATATCCTGTTCCTTAACTAAAATACTCTGGATCAAACACTTAATAACATGATGTGTAATTACATAATGCATTTTAAAGAAAACACATCTGCAACAACAACAGTTACTGAGCATGATAACCTGTTTGATTGATAAGAGCTATATATTGTAATAACAGCCCATGCTTGGGCCTCATAGATCATGTTGAGCATTATATTTCTCAGATGAAAAGCTGGAGGAGGCTCCAGGCAGATCCCTGAGCCTCTTTACAGCTCACATGGTAAAGTTGCTTTTTTAAATGAAGTCAGCAGAGAGTTATTAAATGAATATCCATGACAGCAAGGGAAGGAGAAATGTGTCATACTGCGGAACGGTGAGGGTCCCGAGACGCAGGAGAGAAAAGTCCAGCTGCTGGGGACTGTGTGTGTGTGTGTGTGTGTGTGTGTGTGTGTGTGTGTGTGTGTGTGTGTGTGTGTGTGTGTGTGTGTGCGTGCGTGCGTGCGTGCGTGTGCGTGCGTGCGTGCGTGCGTGCGTGTGTGTGTGTGTGTGTGTTATCATGCTTTATTACTTGAACTATTATAATTAGTATTTATTTTATTTTCCTTATTATAATGTTTGATGAAGATTACAGGCTTATGCAAGAAAGCATAAAGAAAACTCACAGCTAGACCTTGTATGCATAATTAGTTTGCATGCAAAGGTCCATGGCACATGTTTTAAAGTCTAAATCATTCATTGCAGTTAAAATGTTCTTACATTATTTAGACACATTTGCTTTGTGCATAATGTGCTAGTGCAGTGTGTGGGCATTGAAACATCTGAAACGTTGACGTAGCATGTCAACAGATTTTACACAACTATTAAGTTAGTTGAAAGCAATAATATTAGGTCAATCCTAATATTACAAAAAATGTTTTAACTAAACTAGTAGGCTGCAGTTATTTGAAATCTGTTGACATAAAACATTTAACTAAAGTCAACCTTTCAGTTTTTACATTGTGTAATCTAATCAAATAAAATATTATTTGTAATTGTGTCACATAGCATAAATAAGTTAAGTAAAAAGCGCAATTATTAAATGTTGAGCATCTCTTATCTTGTTGACATGAACTCACGTAACCCCCAGCCTTCCTGA